AATGTGAAGATGAATCTCGTTCAAATTGTAAAGTAGTGTGAGCAATTGGATAATGAGCATGAAGATAATAACAAAACCGTTTGCCAGATATATAATATTAACATTATAGTCACCCTTTCCAAAATCTTCAATCCCATTAATGCATTCAAACTACAATAACTCATGATATTCAAACCTTCCACGAATTCATAAACTTTGGAAAGAACAACACTTATGACAGAGCACACTGCATAAAGAGCCACAAACATGTAATGTAAACAAATATAGGACAGGAAATCAAAACTACCTGAATATTTCTACTTTCCGCCAGCTTCACTGCGGTGTCATAGTAAGACATCCGCAACATGTAGTCCACCAAGATCCGATTCACACGTGTGTTATTCCATTCAGACAGACTTTCCACATCTGCCGATTCTAAATGATCAAGCCGAGCCCGGCACCTCTGCGCCTGCAAGTGCTCTGTCTTACTCCCCTCTTCCAACTTAATCACGAAAAACAAACACCAATCAGCATGAAAACTCCAATAGCCAAATCCAATCACTCAAAGCACAAATACAAACAAAAGATAATCTCTTCAATTCTTAAAACACAAATATCCAATCTTGATTAGCTCAATGTCGATTAAGATCAATGAATTTCAACAGTTTAATAGTCAATGTCTACTCGAGCTGACAAATCCCGAATTAACCTCTGTTTGGTTGCCTCGAATTCATCGGATACTCGTTCTTTTATATTCCCTCTCACTCCTCCCCCATCCAAACAGGACAAAACAATCCAATCTAGGGTTTACATATGCAGTACCTTTCGTTTTAGCCCCTGCAGCCTGGAAACGAGGGAGCTGAGATGATTAACGGCGTCGTCAGACGACATGTCGTTCTTGTCGGCGGCCTCGGAGACGCCGTTAATAACGGCGGATATCTCCTTCTCGACGACGCGGTGGTTGGCGCGGATCGTCTTCTTGTAGTACTCGAATGGGACTCTGAGGAACTGGTGCTCGAGCTTCAGGGAGTCGGCGAGGTGGCTCAGTTTCGAGGACGGAGGAGGGCCTGCGGCGGTGGGGGCCGGACCTAGGGTCGGCCCTGGCGACGCGGCGGTGCCGTTGGGGAGGGAATCCATTTCCATTGAAGAAGGAGAAAGAGACGGATAGAGAGAATGATTGGGGAGATTTGAGAGTGGGAGTTGATGAATGACAGAGAAAGAGTAGGGACAAAGGCATATAGGAGAGAGGAGAAGACCTTAAACGACGGCGTAATTATTTCGTGGTTATTTTTACCGAGGAGGATTCTTACCCTCCTAATCTACCCTTTCATCTATTTCTATTTGAACAGTCACGATTAAATTACGTTAATATTTCATATTAATTTTTTTATAAAGATAATAAGATAAAAAGAAGGGTAAATTACATAGTAGCCCCTCAGGTTTGAGGTCTATTACAACCTCATACAACAACTTTAAAAAATTTCACTTTCATACATCCAATATCATTTTATTTCAAAATAACACCTCCGTTAGATTTTTCATCCATTAGTCTGTTAAATGCTGACATGGCTACCACATTTGTGTTGATGTGGCTGCCACGTGGAAAAAATATTAATTTTTATTTTTTTAAAAAAAAACCTAAATCTTCTAAATATTAAAATTAATAAAAAAATTAAAAAAAAACTGAAACCTTCCCTCATCCTCCTCTCTTCTCCCCGCAACCCCACATCCCACCCCCACCCCCTCACCTCTCTACAACCCACATGAAAACCCACACCCCATCTTCACCCCCTCACCTCCCCGCAACCCAGATCCCCTTCTTTGTACGACCTACCTGAAAACCCACACGACCTACTACCTCCCCCCCCGCGACAACCCACATCAGATCGAGGTCCCCATCCAAACAACAATCCCGACCCTAACCCTAAACTCAAATCGAGGTCCAAACCCTCCATACCCACATCGCAATTCAACTTAATAACCCCAAAACTACGATCCTCGTCGTCAATATCTTCATAAACCAAAAGAGATTGAGGATGAGGGGTTGGGTCGGAATGGGCTCAACGTTCTGGTCGTCTCCATGGCGGTGAATTTGGGTCCTGCACTGCATCGCGGTCTGTACCGCAGAGCTCTCTCTCTGATCCCTCTGCTCCTCATGGAGGTCCTTCGTCACCACCCGATCTCGCCGTCGACCGAGATTTCTCATCGTCACCCTGCTGCTCCTGCTCGTTGTCGTCTTCGACGATGAAGATGATGCGGGTGAGGATGACGTCCTTGCAGTTCGGGGGGGGGATATGGGTTTCGCGCTGGAAGGGTGGTAATGGGATCTGGGTTAGGTTTCGCGCCGGGGGGGCGTGGTAATGGGATCTGGGTTGTTCTCTGGTTTTTTTTTTTTTCCTTCAAAGGTGCAGGTATGGGGTGGGGGAAGATGGGAGTAGGGAAAAAGAAGGCTAGGGGGTTCACGGGGGTGGGGTTTTGTTCAGCTTCTGGGTTTTTATTTTTTTTTATTTTTTTAAAATTTAGAAGATTTAGGTTTTTTTTTTAAAAAATAAAAAATTATTATTTTGCCACGTGGCACACATTTGGCAGCCACATCAGCACAAATGTGGCAGCCACGTCAGCATTTAACAGATTAATGGACGGAAAATCTAACGGATGTATTATTTTGAAATAAAATGGTACATGATGTATGAAAGTGAAATTTTTTAAAGTTGTTGTATGAGGTTATAATAGATCTCAAACCTGAGGGGCTACTATGTAATTTACCCTAAAAAGAAAGGAGATGATGAGAATTAGATAGTAGAGAATCCTACTCCGATTTCTACAACGGTTCCAACTGTTTTTTCTTTTTTGGGTCAGAAAATGTTTCATCAGTGAAAGGCCCAATAAAAGCAAATATATGGTGAGGCCTGGCCCAAAATAACACCTCTACCAGTCCGAACAAAAATCCCAAAACTAGAGCCCAAATAAAACGTTTACATTGTTTGACAATATATCGGCCCATCATTGTCCATCTAGAAGTGATCAACATAACCATACAAACGTTCTTTTTATTTTTTTAACAATCGGTAACATTAGTGAATTAAATTGTTAATTGTTTGTGATTAACGTAACAATACAAATGTTGTTACCAAACCAACCAGTCATTTTCTCGATAATAAGTTAAAGCTTAGGAAAATTTTATTTGAACCAGTTGCCTAATCTCTACACTCATTTTTTTTTTAAATTTCATATTCCAATTATACCCTAAATAAATATGGGTGTAGTGATAAAATGTTGAATTACAAGCCAATTTGATTAACTTTTTTAATTTTTTGCAGTTTGTGACCTTTAAATGATTATTAAGCAAATAAACACTTATGATTTATGTACGATTAAAATATATCAATCACAATCGAATGAATAAAGAAATACGCTGATGTAGTGGACCAAAATATTTTTCTTATTCATGTGCAATATTGTTACGCTTATAAGAGAAAAAACTAATTGGTACGAATAAGAGCAGTCACACGATAAAACCTTCTTTTTATAAAAGTAATTATTCCACCATTTTTGTCACTTGAGCAAACCCTAAGTTCATGATCACTAAAGATACAATGTTGCAATGTGAAAAAAGCTAAACGACCTATAATTGCTATTCATCATGACTTATACTCAAGGACGGTACACGCCACATAATTTATAGGATAGATGAGGACCCATATATAAATCTCATAAGTCATAAGACCTATCAAAATTTAAATTTCAAATCGTGTCTTTTAGTTCCTATGGGTTTTTTTATATGTTATTTTCTTTGTAAATCCACTTTTTTTCCGATTAAACGCTCAGATTTTAACTATTTGATCAAATTCCTATGTATTGTCGTCAAGGGGGTCGCTAGGTCTCGTGACATTTTTTTAATACATGTCAATGGTAAAATGTATTTGCCATATGCAATTTTAAGAAATTGTAACTCATTTTTCAATATAACGAAATGTTTATACTAAGAGGCTGGGCTGAGGATTTGAACTAAAACAAACAATGAGCTGGCTAATTTCGTATTGAACTTGCTATCTACGTGAGTCAAACTCAAGACATCTCACTTATAAGTGTAAATGAATACTACTAGACTGCAATGCCAAGTAGTACCAAAACGCTTTTAACTTCAAACGAAACAAAGTAACATCATGTAACGGTAGATTCTCTACGTTGCCAGATAAAATGTGATAATATTATGTTGTCAGACAATTTGTCATTTTTTAGCATCACACTTTTAATATGTCCACACAAGCAAATAAAAATTGCACTTGATTTACATGAAATTTTTTGCAACCCGCCAAAATTCCAGCTAAATAGTAAATGGTGGATTGTCATGATAGATAAAACCTTCATCTTCAATGAACTGCGTCTCTAATTCAAACTCTCCCCTTATTATAGTTTAGCTTACAACATAATGTGTATCATTAGTATAATTTTTTATTTTTAAAGAAAAAGGAAGCACACCTCTAGACCACGAGTATTCAAGCTCACTTATACCTGTATACACCAGATTCCGGCTCTATCAGACACCCGCTCCTCCCCCGCTCTTTCCGCAGACGACGACAACTTTCAAAACTTTCGCTTTCTGACTAATTTACCCTCCCATATATCACCAGACCAAAATAACACCCAAAAAAAATTTAATTAATTAAAACTAGCATATGGGCGCACACAAAGTGTGTGAAATTTTGTTTTTGAAATAGAAGGAGAGATGAAGAGAGTTATAGAGAATGTGGAAGTTTGAAGTTTTTTTTATTTTTTTAATTAGAGATATGTTATTATTACATATAGATGAGACTTTGAAAAAAAAAAACAAAATTTGAATGTGTAAAATTACATTTCTACCTATATTTCTTATTCATGTTTTGCTTTAATTAAAAAGTTAAATCAGTAATTTTATAGGATTTTGATATTGTTTTATTAATTAGTAGGAATTAAAAACCAAAAAAGCCTTCTAATTGGACCGGGCCATATAATAATCGATTGACTCACTCTCACTCCCGCTCTCACTCTCTATTTTCTTCCCGTCATCATTAAAAGAGCAGCCGCGCACCCAAAACTCGCCGTTTGGAGCTTAACGGTCGAAACGCCGGCCCCTAACGCCGTTTAAGCAGCAAGACTCTATTTCCTCCTCTACGGCTCTACCTCTCCCGCCCGTTTAAATATCCGTTTCCCCTAAAATTCGGGTTTCTGAGTTGGAACCCATTTTACCCAATTTATTCAATTTTTTTGAAATTTGAATAGCAAAATTGCGTATCCAAAATCGGACCAGCATTTTTAAGTAAGTGAGTAACTCCTCAAGATTTACAGAATTTAATTTCCAAATTTCTTCATATTTTTTTGAATTTTCGGTATTTGAATCGCTGCTGGATTTGCTGCTTGCTGACCGTTTGCAAAAGCAGAGTAAGGAATTTTCTTGACTCTTTTTCCTTTATTTTTCTCTTGTTTTCTTTTTTTCGTTTTCGTTTTGCTGTTTGGTTGCCGAGAAAGTTGAGGAAACTGATCCTTGGAAGGGGAATTTTTGTTCGAGAGAGGTTTATCTTCTCCGATTTTCACTTTTTCCCGTGAAAGAAAAATTTGCGAGACGTAGATGATGAGTTTCTTTGATTCTTGGTGATGAAATTGTTGGTAGTGTGAGTAACTCAATCGTTTGTGTTTTTCTTTTCTTGCGTTTCTCAGCCAAACAGGAAATAAGTTGATTGTTCGTAGAAGATTCTCGAACTGAAGAAGTAATCGTTTGTTACTTTTTCTTTCGCCTTCTTTCATTTTCTTAGTTGCCAAACAGGTACTAAGTTGATTACAGAAATTGTCAGCAGTCATATAGTTACTATTTTTTTCCTTCATTTTCTCGGTAACCAAACACTCGTCGTCTATTACTTGTATTTCATTGTAGATATCTGGATCTGGTTTTCTGTACAATCTTTTGTTTTCGATTTTGTTTAACTGCAGAATTGATTTGTTTAGGATTAGGATCGTGATGAAATGCCTCGGTTTCGTCGCGAAAAGTGTTTAATAATTTGATCCTTTTGGCGTCAGAGTGCACAGATAAAATGTCAGTTGTTTAATCTTCGGCTCCAAATTACCCTCCCTGTGTGGAGAAGATTAGGGTTTAAGGATGATGAAAATGATGAGGCTATTACTGTCTTTTCACTACATCTCTGGCTCAGCTGATAAAGCCCAGATTGAGATCGAATCGGACCTACTGACACATATGTTTTGTTAATTACTTTGTTTATTACTTTATGTTTTCATGATTTTCAACGTGACCTCCTAATTTAAAATGCTATTATTTGTTTATTTAGTTTTTAATTTTACTTGTGTTCCATTTTTTAACTGTGTGTGATGCATGAAGCTAGTGCTATTGGTAGTATCAGGATGTTGATGCATTAGGCTCAAAAGTCCTCTGTAGTTAACTGAACTAATCTTCTTCTGTTTCCGGTTGCAGGTACGGGTTTAGCAATTTCATATATTGGTGGATCGGTACTTCAAAGACTGTAGTTACTTAAGATTCTGGTTTTTGAGAAAAAGGGTATGAATTCCATAAAGATTGAATTACAGTGTGTTTAGGCAAGCAATAGTGATAATCAACTACGGTTTTGGTAAATTTTTCGGTAGTAGAAACTTGAATGATTTTGGCCTTTGGGTCCTGGCATACTTTTTTAATCAATATCCTTCACTTTCTCAGTTTTCTGTACTTATTTCAGCCAATTTTATTACTTTCCATTCATGTTTGTCTCATGATTATTTTGCCCATTGCTACATAATTTCTTGGTTTCTTTTCTTCTGATGGGCATCTTATATCTTATTACTTGTATGCTGAGCATTTTGTAAGGTTGGCATTTCTGAATTGATTATCTGTACAATGATTCATATGCTTTTCTGCCATCCCCACCAATTTTAATGGCAGTCTTATGTTGTTTGTTCTAAATTATTTTAGGTTCAGAGAGATCCTTTTGGACAGAATTTAATGTGCCGCGATTAGCATTTTCTGCCGAAGATTCAAACATGAAGAAGCTCTTCTTTTTCAGATCTTCTGCTTCTAGTAATAACAACAATGTTCCTCCACCAACTGATAAGCAGATATCTGATGCCGAGAACTCCAATAAAAGTCCGGGTCTTAGAAGGAGCCGGTCATTGTCATCAGCAGCCTTTCTTGGAAGTGAGCCAACACAAACAGATTTTTCTTCTTCGAAATATCAAAGCAGATCTCCTTGTAGTAGTAGTGCAAGGAGCTTTCCTCATCAGCAATGTGACCAACCATCTTGGTGAGGCTTTTGTATCAGTTTATTTGTTAATGTCATGAACTTGTTTACTAGAGCTCAAGTACAACATTTAGACTCCTGTTTAGTTAAAGCTTTCTTCATGAAGCTAATTTTTCTGGTTTTCTGATATGTACCAGTTGTCGAACTCTTACTCCTGAGAGGCTTAGGACTAAACATTTTGAAGTTCCGTCTGTCCAAAACGCACATGGATTGGAGAGGCCTGGTTCTGCTGGTTCTTCTAGAATGCGCCATGATTCGTCAGGGAGCTCTTCCACGTGCTCTAGTAATGTCTCAGCCAAAGTCTTGGACCGTTACATTGATGGAGAGCAGGAGGAACTGAGCAGACAAAAGAACAGTTCTTCCCAGAGACACTTGACTGGGAATGGTGGTGGTGGATGGCGTCCTCCGCGAACTCAGTTTACAGCACCCATTTCACCTAGGGCTCATTCATTTAGAGAGGCAAAAAGTTCTCGTCTTCGTTCATCATCCAAAGATGGGGCAGAAAATGGATTTGGGCATGAATCTCCCCGGAGGCTTGCAAAGAATGTCGTTGAGAGGCTCTCACAGTCTCATGTTATTCAACCAACACGTGAGAAGGAGTTTGACCATGATATTCCACTCACCATTGAGGATATTTATGGTAGACCAGATCTGATTGCCCAGAAAAATTATCCTGGAGATGACTACTCAAGCCTGCAGAAGTTGTTCTATAGTGAAAACTGTGGTGGTATAAACACCGATGAGACTGAAGAGGACATGGATGTAGAATTACAAAGAAGATTGAGGGAAGCAGAGGAGAAGGTCATGCTACTTTCTGACGAACTTGAACAGGAAAGCTTTCTTAGAGATAGTGGGTACAATGTTCCATCACTGATTCAGACAATTAGAAACCTAACTGAGCAGAGAGTAAGCATGGCACTTGAGGTTTCAAACCTCTTACAGTTGCGAATTGCTGAGAGGGCTTTTGCCAAGAAAGAACTCAGACTGGCAAACGGAGAACTGGAGTCGCGAACGAAAAAATTAGAGAAGGAGAAGAATGAGTTGCAGTCAGCATTGGAGAGGGAACTAGACAGAAGGTCGACTGACTGGTCAATGAAGCTTGAGAAGTATCAGTCAGAGGAGCAGAGGCTTCGCGAGCGAGTTAGAGAGCTTGCAGAGCAAAATGTCTCACTTCAAAGAGAAGTCTCTTCCTTTAATGTGAGGGAAACTGAGTATAGAAGTGTGGAAACAAAATCAGAGCAACAGCTTAACAGCCTTGCTACAAGGGTGGGGGAAATGAGAGAGGAGAATCAAGAACTGAAAAATAATCTCTCAGACTTGCAAGAGAAGTATAGAGCAGCAGAGGAAGACCGTGTTTGCATCCATAAAAATTTTGAAGAGAAGGATAAGGAGTGCAAGGATCTGCATAAGTCCATTACAAGATTACTGAGAACCTGCAAAGAACAAGAGAAGACAATAGATGGCTTGCGTGAAAGTTTTAGCGAGGAATTTAGGAAGAACCAATCCGTGGAGAGGTTTGATAAGCACGTCTCCAAATTGCAGATGGAGCAAATGAGGTTGACAGGAGTAGAATTGGCCTTGAGAAGAGAGTTGGAATCTCATAAGCTTGAAGTTGATTCTCTTCGGCATGAGAATATACACTTGTTAGACCGGTTGAGAGGAAGTGGGAAAGAAAATGGTGCTTTAACTTTCAAGCTAGATAAGGAAATGTGGGCACGAATCTCCTGCATGAAGAATCAAGGGCTATCGATTCTAAACGAGAGCTCCCAGTTATGTTCAAATTTACTGGAATTTGTTAAAGGGAAAGCAGGCCAACTTCCAGAAGCTAACCATGGCTTGGATGGGCAATTTTTTGTTGAATCTGAAATGAAAGTTCAGGGCATAAAGCGTGGAACTGAAAGCTTTGCAAGAAGTTTGCAGACAATGTCCGCTTTGCTGCATGAAAAATCCAGTCTGTCCAATTCGAAATTAGCATCCAAGTGCACGAATGCTGATGGACCAGTACATCCAGATGATCAGGCTCCAGAGGTTAGTTGCTGCTGGGTTCTTTGGTATTGTTAGAAGATGCACCATATATGAATTTTTCAGTTTCTTATTATGTTAAATAAGTTATTTTGTTTCCATTCTAAAAACGAACTGTTACTGATGCTGTCACTCTTACGTAGGACGACATGAGATATGAGCTCAAAGCAGAAACTTTACTAACAAGTCTACTGAGAGAAAAGTTGTATTCAAAAGAGCTGGAGGTTGAGCAGTTGCAAGCTGAACTTGCAGCAGCTGTAAGAGGAAATGACATTCTCCAATGTGAAGTGCAAAATGCAATGGACAACCTTTCATGTCTCACCCACAAGTTGAAGGACCTTGAAATGCAGGTAACCATTAGTATCACATATAAAATTCAATGTTAGTGATCATAATATATTTGGATCTGATGCGTTATTTGTTATATGACGTACATGATGAAATTCTGAGAATGATCTTTCAGTATTGTTGAATGATGAAGTATATATTACAAAGATTAAGGCATGTAACTAATAACTATTTCCCTGCTTATTCCGTAATAAACAGATGCTTAAGAAGGACGAGAACATAAACCAGCTTCAGAGTGACCTCCAGGCATCTACGAAAGAATTAACAGTTGCTCGGGGGATACTGCCTAAAATTTCAGAGGAGAGAGATATGATGTGGGAGGAGGTGAAGAAATACAACGAGAAGAACATGTTGCTGAACTCAGAGGTTAGCATGTTGAAGAAGAAGATCGAAACCCTTGACGAGGACATACTTCTAAAGGAAGGTCAGATCACAATTCTGAAAGATACCATAGGGAACAAGCCTTTCGACCTTCTGTCCAGTCCCGATAGGCGAGAATTTTTGCTTCATTGATTGTCAAATGGCAGGGGTTTCTTATAGGGTTGAGTAAATCACATTGTTCATAGTCCTATACTCCCAAAGTTCAATAGCTTTTCTTTCTCAGTTTCCATTTGTACACTTTTCCCTCCTTTTCGTCGGTAGATAAAGAAGCCAGAAACATATAATTATTTGGTTGTAACCGGGCTTTATAGTTGTTGATAGTTGGTTTGGTTTCGCTTGTCGGCGTGATCAAGATATTCTCTATATCTTGACAAGCAAGTTAATGAATTTGTTTCACTCTAGAGATTTTCTGTGTGTTCTGTTTTCTGGTATGGTCGAATCCGCTGAGGTTTTCAAAATTCATTAAACTGTTTGCCTTCGTTAAACCAAATCGAAAGACAGCAAAAACCCGAAAAAAGAAAGAAAGAGAAGAAGGCTACTCATTAGAACTAACAACATGGGGCACAAAACCACCACCTTTGGAATGACAATAATCAAACCCATACCAAACGTTTTCTGGAACAAACGTTCTAAAATAGAACATGTAAGAAACCGGCACTACCACCCGGCCGCCATCCTGTCGATGAAGCACCCTCACCCAGCCAGGCCGCCAGTCGTCCGACCCAACCTTCTTCAGGTACAGATAGCACACCCTCCGGCTCATGCATTGTCCACTGGCCTCAAACATGTCTATGGCACATCGTCCAAACCCGCCATACCCCCCACGTCTCACACCACCTTTTGCAGCATACAATGGCTTAGGGTTGTTCAGATGCTTCACTATGATCAAATTGCCCTCGGAGTCCCCGAACCTGACGCTGACATGGTCCGAGGTTGCGGCTGATTGTGCACACGTTGTCTCAATCTCGACGGAGTAGGAGCAGTTTGTGCTGGATCCTTGTACTGGCAGAGAAGTGATGAAGGCTATTGCAACGACGGTTAAGATGCGTAGTCTCTTCATTTTTGGTTGAGAGATGGTGAGTGAAAGTATGGAAAATCTAACTCCTATATAATGCAAGAGGTTTCTCTCTTTTGTCAAATTCTGTGAGTACTAATCAAGTAAAGGTAATACAAATGGATTTACTTTGAGAAAGGAGATTCCCATTTCCCACTAGTTGCACAGAGATTCTTGCATCAGACAGTCGGAGCAGGTGAACTGTCTGACGACTCCCAAATGAGTGGGACTCCTACAGCGAAGTGTTTCCTAACTAAAGTGACTTCCGCACACCCTTTTCTTTGCAAGTCAGACAGTCCATCTGGTGACGATGACTCGCAAACTTGTTATCCATGTGGACACATCGGTATTGACATTTTCCATGTCATATGATGCAGATTTCAATCAGCTTTATCAACAGTAATTAAAGAAACGAATGCTTTAATTTTAATACAAAGCCTGAAGCGATAAATCTTTAAACAGGCTTTATTAAGTCTAATGAGATTGAAGTTTGAATAAGAAAACTATAAAACAAAGTGTACACAGAATCAACTACAAAATAAGAAATAATCCCTTGATTTGAGCTGCATCGATGCACGCCATTCCTATCGTAACATCCTAAAGATCGACAAGTACATCAGAAGTTCCGAATGGCTCTTGTTCTTCAAGGCAATAGGGCTTACAGAGTTACAGGGAACCGTCTCAATAATCAAAGGGATGCAGATTTCCAGAACTCAACAGGCTTCCGGTGCTGAAGTAGGAAACGAGTTAAAAGGACTTAGTTGGTTACAAGATAATCATAATCATCCAGATGCAGAATTCGTACCCAAGTCAAGCCCGTCAATGATCCAACAAAATTCATCAACAGAACAAATATACACAACAGAGCAACGGTAAATCAAATATACACACGACCCTAAGAATTAACACGATCAAACAACAAATGCTGATTAACCACAAGGGCCATTTATCCCATCATTTCAAAGTAAAATAAGTTTCAAGCGACTTTCTGGTTTACATATTTCTTTGTCCAAACTAGACAAGACAGAATGTAACATACCTTGGCAATTGGCATTTTTTCTCTCACTGAGTCAATCAATGAGAAATCAATATCGGCTATAGCAATCCCTGTTGACAGTCGATCTGAGAAAGAGAGCAAAAAGTTCAAATTATGTTGCAGCAGTGGCTAGTATAACTACCATGGGCATGAGTTTAAACAATTAGCCATGATTTAAAGCCACTCAAGCAGCTAGATGTGTAAGGTAATTAAGTCCTCACCAGGCAGTCGGCCAACAACTGTTCCCCACGGATCAATAATTAAAGTTTCTCCGTGGCTTTCTCTTTTATCATTATGATGTCCAGCTTGTGCAGAAGCTATGACCTAATAATACATAAGTAACATAATCATCCCAACGTGACATTGCAAGAAAAATCGTTCCCTAGAAACAAATATGAAAAGGTTATGTTGATGAAGAAGAAAATGGAATTCATACATAGCATTGAGTCTCAATTGCACGAGCACGTAGAAGAATCTCCCAGTGCGCCTGCCCAGTTACTTTGGTGAAGGCTGAAGGTGCCAATAGAATCTGCAGATTGTAATGCAAGATGTCGGTGCGAGATGCTAAATTACCCTGTATAACTTTAAACCTGCAAAAAGAAAATGTAGTTTTACCTGTGCATCATGTTGGAACCTGAGCAGCTGGTAAATCTCCGGGAATCTCAGATCATAGCATACCGTCAAACCCAAACGGCCAATAGGGCTATCAACTGCCACAACATTCTTTCCTGAAAATGTGAACAAACCAAGTCTCTGACTATCTCACACCAAAAAGATAATCAACACCAACAATAGTAACAACATTTTGATTCATTAGCGCAAGCCCGTATTTTGAACATTTCACATACGGGCAAGAACTTACCAGGTTCGGTAAAGCTGCCTTCCTTGTACACCCTTCCACCAGGAATATCCACATCAAACCTTCCACAAACAACAACATTTTTCTAATCACATTTTTCACGAAATTTCGGGGTAGCGAAAACTGCATTGCATTGAACTTAAAACAGCCTACTTACAATTGAATCTTTCTGTAAGTACTTCTGATGTTCCCAGCATCATCAACAACAACATGGGTGTTGAACAAATGTTCATCATCCGACCCCTTTTCTTGGAACCCTCCAAGTGACAACCAAATCCCAGATTCTCTACAATCCATTTACTCAAATGGGTCACTTCAATTTCCCCAAAAAATCAAATTTATGACACAAAGTTTCAATTTTTATTCTAATTTTTACCTTGCCAGGGAGCAGTACTTCTGCAAAATTGGACCCTCTAGAGGTTCTGCTATTTTCAGACTGTCACCATCTTTGGCACCAATAAATGAAAAGCTTTCCGGAAAGCAAATCAATTTTGCTCCGGCAGCAGCTGCTTCCTTCACATGATTTATAAATTAATTATTAATTAATTACATAATTAAAATGATAATTACATAAAGTTTGGAAAGGGGAAAAAGAGAAGAAAAAGAGAAGAAAAAGAGGTGAAACGATGGGTACTTTGACGAGGCGGGAGCAGGTGGCAAAATTGGTGGCGAGGTCGTTGATGGAGGTCATTTGGGCGGCGGCGACTCGGAGTGAATTGGCGGCCATGTTGGACTCTCCAGCGATGATGACGCGGGCGGACTGGGAACGGATCGGAGCGCCGTCTCGGAGGAGTGGGCTGACACGATAATTAGGTAGGGAAAGACAAAACGGCATCCTCGGTCTCTGTCATCGAATGGTCCGCCGGAAATGTTTAGGCAATGGCCACGTCGGACAGTTTGTATTTTTCTGTTATGACCACTTTACAAATATCATTTTATACTTTTATTCGAGAAACAAGTGCGATAACATATACTTCAAAAAGGCAATCTCAAGTTAATAAGGTTCTCAATTTTGTAAGGATTAGGGAGAGAATATCTATCGTACACAGTCTTACTTTTACTTTATAAAGAAATTTTCGTGACCCGAATCTGTTATTTTTCAATCGCAAATGAGCAATATTTTCATTGCGTCAAGGCTCGTCCTCTGCCGTACAAGGCATTGCTAAATATTTCAACATTTATTTTCATTTGGCTTGACAAGTGTGCATTTCCGAATTACACGACAAGAATTTCAATTCTCATAATAAATACCAAAGGTGTCAAATAAGAAACAGAATCTTGTTTTTTGAATCACAAATATAATATTTATTCCAACACAATAGACTAATATAAATAATAAGAGTGTCCAAGCGTTAAGTTAGTAACTTAATACGATGCTAATCATTCGTCGTACGTGCTCAACAAAGTAATGTATTGATCTCAACAGTTCACTGTTTAAAGCATAACAATTGATTAACGTCGTATTAAGTTACTAACTGATAAATGTTTAGGCGTTTTTGCATAAGTTGTTCACTTTGGACCAATAAGAAAACGAGTAAAGATCAACAATACACTTATTCAAACACATCAAAATCTTATGTTGCTAAAGCAAAAGACAAGCTTCGATTTTCACCAAGTACAACTAGAAGATAAAAGTCTCATGTTCTTGGATGGAAGTGCTTGCCGTTACAAGTGACTGCCGAAATGCCGAATTCTTTTGTTTAGTAAAATGGGTGCATATCGATATAAACTATGTGTCTAATGTCTAAGAAAAATCATGAACGAGAATCATGTACCAAGTTGTTTGTTGGCATTAACAATTCTAATTGATAGTTCACTTTGACCAACAAAAAATTAACACACAAAAAGACGTTCGATTTTCGCCAAGTGATAGAAAACAAAAAACTCCCTTTGTACTTGGAGCATGGAAGGAATGATCCGAGTATATTTGCCCACCGTTCTTAATTGATGATGAATATCATCATCATATTAGTTGTTAGTAAATGAGTTTAAGGTTCAAGACATCTGTCATATTTTTTGAAGCATAATTTTAGTGTACTTGAAACATCATCACATGATGTTACTATTTTACTGAATTTATATCAATCATGTCGTCCAGTCTTTATAACATGTTAAATGATAAACCACGTGACTTGTATTCTTAGTACCCATAAAAATTTATCCAAGATGCTTAGCGTGGTGGTGATGGACCACCACTACTTAAAGTATTGAGAAAGAAAAAAATGCACTTAGGAGTGATAGAAGTACTATTTTTTTTTTTTATATACATCGATAAGATAATTACATTAAGGTATTTTTAGCCAAAATGGTCTTTGAAATTAGCATAACTCATCAATTTGGTCTAGATTTGAAATTGATAGAAGTGGTCCATGAGTTTGTCCACCATTAATCATTTTGGTCATTATGTGGAAAAATCTATTGTAAATATGGACTAAAATGACAAAATACCCTCAATTTAATAAGCAATGGGCCAAAATAATTTCACAAAAATTGAGAGTATTTTTGACATTTTATCCCTTATTTAATAAATATTTTTCACAGAATAATCAAAATGATTGATGATGGACAAACTCGAGACCAGTTCTATCGATTTTAAATCTCAGATATCATTTTAGCTAAAAAGCCTTGCATTAAATTTGTCTAAACTATTGAACTGAGGTTCAAACTTAAATACAATTATGTATCACATTGCTGTAACCAACTTGACCAATTATAAATTTAGATAACAAAATACGTTTTGATTAAGACTGATGCAACATGATACAATTATTAATTAATTATTATTTGGTAATAGTTAGGGGCAACAAGTTGACAACTATATTCCCAAGAAATTCCCAAACACAACACAAAATAATTGGCAAAGTGGGGAAAAATTCTTTTCTTTTGATGATTATTCTTCTTTAGAACAATTTAATAGAAGGGAGTTGTTATGTTGCTAAATAAAGGTTGGGGAAGGGGAAGATGAGCAAAAGTTGCCTAAAATGGTGGTTTGTTGGAGGTCAAAGTCAAAACCCCAACCCATAAATTAGAATACCAAAACTGAAAATCCAACCCAAAAGGCCTCAGCTCTCTCCCTAAACATGGTTTTTCAAACCGAGGGCGAGGGGTTGGTTTCTTGTAATTGTATTCTTCCACCTCCATGCTTATTCATCTCTTTCCCTGCGAGAAACAAAGATTAAAACTTTTTTTTTAAATAATAAAGAGAACCAATTTATTGCTCCCAATCCCCCACCCCCTCTCTCTCTCTCCTCTCTTCTTTCTCTCTCTTCATTCTTTCGATCTAACCCTTTCCACGCTTCTGACAACCTTTTTTCTGTCAGAACATTCCAAATCTGTTTCATTGGTTCTCTGTCTAATCCAAATAAAAATGTTCTTCTGAGCTCTCGGATGGTTATTGAATTGTGGTAGTCTTATAGACAAAGGGCCAAAAGAATCCCTCTCCAAGGCTCCAACATATATTGAATACAAGGTAGGTTGCAGATTTTGTTTTTTCAATCTCAAAGACATGAACTTTTGTTGTTTGAGTTGTGATTCGATGTTGTTTTTTCATACCCCAGATGTTTGTTTGGTCTTAAGTTTATGTTGGACGGTTGGATTTATGGTTTTGATGTTTTTTCATGACAAAGTTCATGTCTTTTCTGAAATACCTATTAGTTTTTAGTTTGCATTTTAATTATCTGGGAATATTGTGCTGTTTCTGGACATGAACAGTTTATTTATTTGTGCCCCTTTTCAATTAATTACCTGCAAGTTAATTATCTCCTAAACTCATATTATCTGGTTTTGCACCCCTTTCAATTTGACTTTGGCTCTGTCTGCAATTTAAATTTTACTGTTAGTTTTGTATGCAGAGTTTTTGATATGTGGATCTGTTATTTGGATTTTGTAATTGTAGGGAAGCTAGAGGCGGAGCCAGGATTAGCTCTTGTTCACAACAATGACTCGTTGAATAACTTAATCCCGGGTCATTTGGTTGAGAATATGTAAGGGATGGTATCAGCTAAGTTAATGAAGCTTGTGTCACCTTGCTGGAAACCTTCTGTCGAGGGTGAAAATTCTAGTAGGGGGGACGTGATTGGACGAATTGATGGTTTGTTGTGGCATAAAGATTCAGGACATCATGTTAATGGAGATTTCTCAATGGCAGTAATTCAAGCAAACAACTTGTTGGAAGACCATAGCCAACTAGAATCAGGGCCTTTGAGCTCACTCGAATCGGGTCCTCATGGAACATTTGTTGGAATTTATGATGGACACGGAGGTCCAGAAACAGCCCGGTTTTTAAATGAACGTCTGTTCAATAACATCAAGAGTGCGTTGTTCTTTCCTCTAAATTCATCTTCTTCTTCTTTTTTATACCTATATCTGTTGAGAAGTTTGGTAATTGCGATAACTAAACTAATGCTGCTATTATCAATAAAAAAACTGAGAAACTAGTATTTTCTTATGTCTTGCACCATATATAGTCGCTTTGGTGCGGTTTGCATGTTGCTACATATATAATTATCAAGAGCTATTTCATATGTAGCTCAAATGTTTTATCGGAAAATTTACGGAAGACAGGAAACTCTTCTTTTTTCTTTTCTTTTTCTTTTTGAATCGTCTGGGAGCTTTATTGTCTAGGAATATATTTGTGGTGACAGTTTATTCATTTTGCAATGCTCGGCCGATGATGTTTGAGTCAAATTCATGATCAGTGGGGATAAGAATGGCGTTATTAATTAAATGGAAATTGTGAGGTTCCAGAGTGAGGTGTAAAACGCGTGGTTTGGACAGGATTTCTTATCTGCTTTTACTAACAACCGCCTTGATCATGAATTATATATCATAATACTAATTATGAAAATTTACAAACAATTGAGGTTCTGGTCACGTAATAATCCCTATTAATATCAGTTTTTATGATATGATTGATTTCGTATTCATGCAGGTACCGCTTCCAGTTTTTAGATAGCTAATGCTTATATTTACTGACTTGACAGCTTTCCGTGGTGCAGAGTTCACATCAGAGAATCAGGGCATGTCAGCTGATGTTATAACGAAAGCATTTTTGGCGACTGAAGAGGAGTTCCTCTCTCTAGTAAAGAAGCAGTGGATCAAGCCACTGCTTGCGTCTGTTGGTGCATGTTGTTTGGTAGGCATAGTATGTAGTGGGCTACTATACATAGCAAATGCAGGGGATTCTCGTGTGGTGCTAGGAAAACTGGAAAAGACTGTTAAACAGGTAAAAGCGGTTCAGTTATCAATTGAGCACAATGCAAGTTATGAATCTGTGAGAGAGGAGTTGCGCTCGTTGCATCCCGATGATCCACAGATTGTGTTATTAAAGCACAAGGTGTGGCGCGTGAAGGGTTTGATACAGGTGATTATTTTTCTGATCTGTTCTTAATTTTGTGTATTATCTTCGGAGTCATTTTCTGTTACCCTATACACACTTACATAGTGATCGCTTTCCCCTTTGACTTGTGTGTGACTGAGTAATTTTCATCTTAAGACTTTAGTTTTCACAAATTTTCCATTTATAGGGAACTTTAACAAAAAGCTCATTGTACTGTTCACTTTAACGAAAAACCACATTTTTACACTAAAAAGTCAATCCTGGTACTATTCACTTTACCCTTTATTTTGTCCTTATCATTAAAACTCAAAGTTTTCAAGCCCTTTTCATTAGTTTTCCGAGCGTGGTGCCATTATTATCAAATGGATTTTGGAACTAAATAATTGAGGTTTATGTGTATTTGACTTTCAGTTCTAAGCCCGGAGTTTCGAACAATTTTGCTAATTTGCAGGAGGAATGTTTTTGTGAATTTTAACAAATGATTTGAGATCTTTTGAACATTAATATTGATGAAAAGAAATGTGAATAGTCATGCAGTGAAAGTACATGCGATCAAAGTGGTCTTCTTCTCTCTTAACGGTTTTCTTTTACTTAAATTAGAACAGAGTTTCTTTAAGATAAACTATGAGACCTAGTTAGGTTCGTTCAATTTTGCGTTTAAGTTTTGGCGTTTAAGTTTTAGGTAATTCTCATTCATTGAAATCTCTTTGCTCGTGACCAAATTTGCATGCCCCCTTCACAAAGTTGGCATGGCATGCACAATAGAACAGCACTCATGTTAGAGATGCTTGCTTGTCTTGCAGATTTCAAGATCCATCGGTGATGCCTACCTAAAGAGGCAAGAATTTAACAAAGAACCTCTATTGCCAAAGTTCAGATTATCACAACCCTTCAACAAGCCGATCCTTAAAGCTGAGCCAACAGTATTAGTCCAAAAACTCTACCCCGAAGATCAGTTTCTTATATTTGCATCAGACGGCCTATGGGAGCAGTTAAGCAATCAGGAGGCAGTTGACATTGTCCAGAGCTATCCACGCAATGTACGGTCCCTATGTCAAGTTTTGACTTTCTTTTGTATTTAATCAATCATGTTTTGCATCGTGGTTGATCGGTCTTGTTTTGCCCATATGATATCATAAGCTCAGTAGCTCAGTTTGGAATTGTCTTTTATTGAAGTTGCTATTACACCTGCGATAATGTTCCCCATATTTGTGCAGGGTAGCGCAAGGAAACTTGTCAAAGCTGCACTTCGCGAAGCAGCGAAGAAGAGAGAAATGAGATATTCGGACTTAAAAAAGATAGACCGAGGGGTGAGGAGACATTTTCACGACGACATCACAGTGGTAGTTCTGTTCCTAGATTCGCATCTGGTCAGTCGTAGCTACTGTGACGGGCCTCTGCTATCGGTTAAGGCAGCTGGTGGTGTCCCTGCCAGCACCTAGATTTAGGAGGTTCAAATGCATCTATCTCTCAAACCCCCTGGTTTTCTTCACTTGTACTAAGAAACAAACGAAAGCTTTTGTTTTCTTTACGAAGAAGAGAGTTAAAGGCAGATTTTGGGTCTTTTTTTTCCTTCTTTTTTTTTTTCGTTTTTCTTCTCTCTTCTGCTGATGTATAGCTGTGCTCTATGGATTTTATTTTATTTTTTATATTTTTAACTTTTACATTTAATGCCACATGAAATTTGAGTATATAGATAGCTAGAGAACTGAGAGTGCCTCAGAAAAAATTTCTGCAGAAAGTTCCTAGCCTTTGGATCATGACATGATGATAATTGTTATTTTTATTATTTTCCGGAGCTACTATTTGCATGAATTGTATGTTTGCCTTGAAATATAAACTTGGAAGCGTTGTGTCAATCGAAATTTCCAATTCAACTTGCACCTCGACTCTGTACCAAGCAATACTTCATGCCTTTTCCTACTTCAAAAATGAAATGCTTAGGGGTAGGCACTCAATAGACGTAGGGGTAGGCACGTTCCCATAACGCTAAAGATAAATTTAAAGTCGCATATCGCTTAACGTTATTAACTTTTGTTCTAACCAATGATTTAAATCCAAAAGTTATTGTATAAGAACATCTCCACCCGTTGGTGAAGACAAAGGCAAATGCAACAATGTTGTCCTTAATCCCAAAAAACCACCTCCAGTCCAATAAAGCAAGGTCAAGTGGTGGATCAATCACCGACTGCCAAAAACTCGAGCAGGAGAAGGCCAGCAATGTGCCAGCGGCCAATTTGATGTCGTGCTGACACCAACGCATATTTTATTTTATTTTATTGTCAGGTGCGTGTAAAGAGAGTGGCCAAAAAAAAAAACTGCAGCGGAGTACCCCGCAGAATCTGTTAAGCATAAATACATAACGAACAATGAAAACCAACTCAAACCGCAGAATGGCAACTTTGAAAGTGAGTTTGAGCGGCACTGCTGCTCCTACTTCTTCACCATCACCATCTCTGAAATCTTGGCCACACATCTCAGATTCTCCCCCCAAGATTTCAGTGGTAGCCAGATTTCCAAACGCCACCGTATTAACTCCTCCCAAGCTCCGTCTTCAGGCTTCTCTGGGGAAGAAAACCAGAGCTTCAGTCTCTGCAGCTATGGAAACCGGGTATGTTACAGTAAATGGGGAATGTAGTACAGTAAAAACCAAAGTTTTTACCTTTCTTCTCTGTTTTTTAGGAACCCAATTGCTAGAATTGTACAAGTCTTCATATTTGACTTCCAGATTGGCTGAGCAATCTTACTTTTCGTATTTGTGTTTTGGTTGTCCTGTTCTTATGTGGGAAGTGGGCAAGAAGTTCTTCCACCAGCTCTTACTTCTACGTCGGACCCACCTCCAATCTTCAATGGAAATACAAGGTTGGTATACTTTGCTAGATTTTGCACTACTTCATTGCATATTGTTTTTAGTCCGGCTATAAGACGGCTATATCATTGATACTATGTAGATGTCATTGTTGCCAACAGAACGTACTGATATGTTATCGATACCTTTTCAACAATAAACAAGTTCTGTTAAGTTTTCGGGTTAGGAGTTTTTAGTTTACGTGTTCTTGTGATTCCAATCCATGTGTTTGTTTCACTGCACATTACAACGTTTACATTTTTAGATTTGTGATTTTGTTAATCTGAGTCAGACTATAAGAAACGTGGGGTTTTCTTTTTGTGTTGTTTGAAGGCTGTATATAGACCAAGCCCCTTAATCGTCGATGATTGTTATGAAGAGGGTTGGAGGAAAAGATACAATTGGTTTCTATTGATCTGCAAGACAGGCCTGCTTGGTACAAGGAGAAAGTCTACCTTGCTAACAAGGTGAGCTTTTGTGACTAGAGCATATGCTACAAGGCTGGTTTCATTTATCTTGTGCTGCATTAGAACGAAATGCTCTCGTATCATAAGGCATCTAAAATACCGCCCTGTGGTGGAGTAATTAGATGAAGAAGAGAAGACAATGGCATATTTCCAGGCCATTATGTCTGCACAAAGTTTCTTTGTGATCCGTATGCTTAATTAACCGTTTTATTTTCTCTACGAGGTGTGTCTGGTATGAAATTTGAACGCCGGTGCCATCACTCGAACACAATAACGAAGTGAGAGGATACATTGGCAGTCACTTTGAAGGGCCTTCACTGTTCCCTGATGTGAGCTTTCGAGAATACTTGGTTAATGAATATTGGCTTCTGTATGTTATACAAATGCTTATACTCTGCAAATTTAGGATCCCGCGAAGAAAGAGTTTGGGGAAGAGTTGCTGTCCTACACAGACTCCTTCAATAGATCTGTGTTTTCGTCAGTAAAACAAGATGAAATCGAGTCAGCTGGTGAAACGATCACTTGCTCCTTTCAATGTTACTATTTAAGTTGCAATTAAGCTAATGTAACCATAGTCGCGAGTGTAAGCAGATTGGACATTTGACTATATCGAAACTGCTCTTTCCAAATTGGAAGACGGACCTCTCTTTCTCGGCAAGTTTAGTCTGGTAATATGGCTGCCATATCCGCTCTGTCAACTAGTATTTCATATGAAGCTTTCGCCATCCATGTGTGCAAATTTCATACGAAGCTTTCGCCATCATTTTGAAGATTGTTCTTAATTTTCAGGTGGATATAGCGCTTACGCTCCCTCCCTCGGAAGGTTTCAGCTTTACTTGATGGACTTGAAGAAGTATGACATCGCTGCAGGGAGACCTAAACTGGCAGCATGGATTGAGGTACAAAACGATTGGATTCCGAATTTGATAGAAAAGGTTACTCATGTGAATACATATCACTTGTTTGTAGGAGATGAACAAAAAATGTAGCTTACAAACAAACCCGATGTGACCCCAAAGAGCTTGTCGAACTTTATAGGAGACGCTTTTCGGTAATAATCTTCTTGCAGCATGTTAGCAAGTCAATTATCGTTGTTGCCAAATGCTAATCTCTTATGCCTCGTTTACTAATCCGTATTCAGATTGAGAGGAGAATTGAATTAACGAGGGATTGAATTGAGGAGAAATTGGTTTACTAATTCTTCTTTCTTCTTCTTGTTCTAAATAACTAATTAATTATTTCTCTCTTATGTCTGCTGCTGCACTGGGTTTTGATGTGAAACCGGAAGGCGCTGGGTGTTTTGAACGGCACCGTATGGAAGAGAGGAGATACGGGTATTTTGGGTAGAAAAAACTGATTTCGGATGAAGGTTTTCTCCCGGAATTGAAATACCACTTATCTGATTCCGGGAAAATCAGGAATCTGATTCCTTATTTTAGGTGGGTCGCACGTATAATTGCATTCCCCAATGTTGGTAAACGCTTGAAGCACTTGGAATAAGTGCAATTCTCATTCCTCTCACTCCATTCCCCTTACGTAGAGATTGTTGGATAATGGCCAAATTAGTGGTCAAGTGGACAACAAGCCAAATCACATTTCGGCTATTAAACAAACCAAAAGAATGAAGGACATAATGATGTGGGAACATCATTAGGAGGTTTTCCTTTATGATGTGGCCACATGAGTGGCAATTATGATGTTTGTTCTTTTTGTTTATATTAAGGCATTTGGTTATGCCTTTGGTTTTGGGGGTTGGGAACGGCAGATTAGACAGAAGAAGAGGTGGGTTGCTGTTTTCTATCCTCCATTTGTGCCATCATTCATTATAAGATATTGTGCTACATTTTTTGGCTTTTGGGAGAGAAGAATTTGATATGTGTTTCTTCTTCTCCATTTGTTCTTTGTATGAGCAAGAGCTATTGGGTGTATATGGGATATTGGGTTTGAGAGTTCAACTCTATTTGTAATTTCCATTTTGATATTAGTGGAATTTCCTCGCCATCTCTGAACTGGACGTAAGCTTACGCCGAACCAGTATAAATTCTTGTGTCATTTGGATTATTTGTCTTATCATATTTTGTTGTATTAGTTTATTGGTTTCATATTTGACGCTTCCGCACAACAGAGACACCCTTAATGCATTGGCACTGCAGATGTTCCGAATTTTGCTCGTATGCATTTCCATGCACTGATGGTTCAGACTTCAGAGATCCTCGAGAACCAATCATAATTCTCCCAGAAACTGGTAATTGTTGAAGCGAAACTTCATTTCTGGTATAAGAAGTCAACTGAATTGGTACTTGCCAGTCTTTTTACAAGAAAAATAACCTTTGCACTTCAATTGCTGGGGGGCATGTCTAAAAACTATCTCGGCCTTGTTTGGAATTTGGTTCTGGAAGGGCTAAAAGTGCTTCAAGTCAGTCATAGAAGTGCTTTCTAGAGAAGCACCTATTAGATGGTTTTTCAAGAAGCACTTTAAAGTGGCTTTACATGAAGCACTTATATTTTTTAACAAAACACTTCGAACAATAGCAATTAAGAACATAAACACTTTATAGAGAAACAATCCCATACAGTCTCGTCAGATGTTATTCTCGGAAAATGTTCGTATGAGCACTAGTTGGCTGCTTAAATGTTCTTAGAAAATCCTGCAAAAATCTAAAAAATTTCTGCTAGAAAGCAAAAGCCATAAGCAGTTGGAATAGCTAGCTAAGGGGAATTAAGGAAGCTGCTTTATTTAACCCTGGATACTTTTTGTTTACACTTTCTAAAATCAACAAACATATAAATCTTCTCCAACACCAAAACTGCAGAAGCAACTTATTAACGCTACATCATTCCATCCTAACCTCGCTTCAATGAACCAGAATCTTCCCGAATCAGTGAACAGATAAAAATATTGAAAAACCGCCTTAAATACGATATGTAATGAGGAAATTTTGTTTCAACATCTCTATCTAGGTATTATCCCAAAAAATTAGATCAACCTGACAAGACATCGGTGAGAATATAAAGTCGCCGAGGGCAGTAACTCGCCAAAATTATACTACCCACCCAAAATATTAAAGCAAATTTTACTCAATACTGCAGGATTTTAGCAATAATGTGTTATCCCCTCCATCGATTATCAGCGTCATGCTCTGTGCGAGATTGATCATTTCTGGGTTCATGTATAGAGCACTGACAATTACCTCTTTGCATTTGAAATGGTCACTTGATCGAGAAGTACGTATATGAGTGAATGCAGAGCAGTTGCACGCACTACCTCAGCAGTACTTTCCATATCTTGCTCATATACATGATCAAAGACCACACGGCAAGCCCCGCTGAAACATAAAGCAAAAAAACACCAGAAGCTACGATAACATCTGGTCTTCCAAAACTGCACAAGTTGAACGAATTGGGGTCAGAAACTAAATTAATAAACTCTTTCACCTGTATTGGCTTAATCTGTATTGGCTGAAGAAGAATAGCTGAAAAATCCAAGAAAAAAAGATGATGCACCTGTTGTCTCGGGTTGCCAAGAGGATAGTCAGTGCTATCATCTGTGTGGCTGTTTTCCACTTTCCCAAGTTATTTACAGCTACAGCCTGAGAGTATTTATCATTTGAATGAAAACTTATTTTACGATCAAGTTACAGCTGATATCTTCTGTCGGTTCTGAATTGAGAAGGCAGTTGTTTAGAGGTATCATGGGGAAGGAAAACAAACCTCTAAAAGTTTAGTGTTCTGAGAAGCAGCCCATTCTCTAACTGCTGACATGGTTATCTAAAAATACAACGCAAAAGTGATTAGTGAGACAGTGCTATCAACACGAGGGATCCATAAAAGTACAGGATAAAATAATTGCATAACAAAAACGTTGGGTGGGGGAAGAGAGAGCAGTTGATAAGACAATTACTCATTTGAGCAAATATAGGTTAAAAGGATTTGTTCATTGAGCCCAAAACAGTAGAAGTTGGGAACTCACAACGCAGAATATGCACATCCATGCACAAAAAACGAATAAAAGGGCACACTCAACCTAACATGGATGAAAAAATCATGCCAAAGTATTTGCAAATTGTAATTCAGCTGCTGTCCATATACATGATATGAACCCCAACATCTTTAGGAAGAGACCTTGTGCTTTCTACATGCAAGATCATGCCCAAACATTTTCATGTTAAATACAGTCACACTTCATTTTTCTACTAACTATAACTTCCTAGCAAAAATACAATCAAATTTAATTTTGACAATTACTAATACACTAGTGAAATATTTTATTGGCCCACCAATACAAGACATACAAGAAAGCAAGCCCTAAATCATTTAATTAATAACTAAGGAAATAGAGAAGACAGATAGAACAATATAATACCTCTCTACCAATTATGGCAATTGAAGGAACGACAAACAGCCATGGAACTTGCCCAAACATGGCAACGTCCAAAGGCCTAGAACACAATAAAACCAGTGTGGCTGCAACCATGAGCTGCATTCAGCAGGAATGACAGTTTTAGAGAAGAATTATAATAACCAAAGCACTCCTTTTTATTTCAAGAAGCTGAAAGTGACAATAGAAGTATTTAATTTTAACTTTAGTGTGGAAGACAATACCTTATCAGCCACCGGATCCAAAAATGCGCCAAAAGCAGATCCTAATTTCATCTGAAACACAAATAAACTTTTATAAAGTCAATAAATTTAACGCAGATGAACAACCTCAAGCATTAAAATTCCCAAAATCAATTGAAAAGATACAGAAAATAAGTTAACCTTCCGAGCAATATACCCATCGAGCCAATCAGTAATTGCTGCAGCAATGAAAATACTTGTTGTGGCAGTTGTTCCCCACCAACTATCGATGTAGAAAGCTAGGACAATGGAAAGGAAAAAACCAATGTTAGCCTAATCAAATGCAAAGGCATATGCTTCCAAAAACAAAATCTGCAGAAACCGAAAATGCATACAAAACCAGATGTTTAAACATCTCAATTGCCAAAATATGACCACTCCAATTGTATTGGAGCTCCAACAGTGACATCAATGTCAAAAAGCAAACAAAACCCACATGGATAATTCAAAAAAATTGGCAAAATACAACATACAAATCAACATCATTGCCAAAATATGAGTACTCCAATCGCATTGGAACTCCCAATAGAGACACCAATGCCAAAAAAAAAAAAACCATCTAGGCAACCTAAATTTAGCTAGATAATACAATTGCAATTTATACAATTCGCAACGAAAACGAAAAATCAATCGAAAGTCATACTGCTAATGAGAACCGGCACGGCGGCGACGCGGCCGAGAGTCAGAATGGTGGGCAAGGTGAGGAATTTGGAGGAGGGATTCGGATTGCTGCTGCTGTTGTTTTTGTTGATGTGTCAGAGGAGAAAGCAATTCGTCTTGGTTCGGGTACAATTGGCTGTCGTACCAATCGGTGCCCTTATGATTCTCCGAACCCATGTCGGCCATAAGACCACCAACACCACCGGTGCCGGACTCGGAGCCGGACCCACCAGAGGACTCTCCGCGATCTTCGAAGGAACCGCCACTAGCGTTGCTGCGGCTGCGGGAGGAGGAGGAGGCGGAGAAGCATTTAGGGAATCTGGGGGCTAGGTTTAGGGGAAGAGGGAGAATTGGGGGCGGGAGGGGTGCGCAGGGGGTTATCCTGCACCCGGAGTATTTACGCGTGTGCGTTAATGCCTCGATGAAGTTTTTACCAAATGGGGGTGAAGAGGGAGAGAAGGAGGAGGGGGTGGAGGTGGAGGTGGAGGTGGAGGAGAAGATGGAATTGAAGAGAATTTGGTAGGGCTTTTTGGGGTATATACAGGAGGCTGCTGTGGTCATTTTGAGCACCAGGGGTGACATGGCTGCCAACCAAAGTACCAAACCGACTTCTACAAAAAGTGCTTTTTAAGTTTCAGCAGGACTCTCTCTCTCTCTTTCTCAGGGGAAACAGTTATAAAAACCAACGCAACTAAAAGCCGATGAGGTCTGCGTTTGCTTATTTTAGCAGCTCTATTTCTTCTTCTGCTTCTGCTGATGATTTTATTCCGTTTGGGAGGACGGAAGTTCGGTCGCTTTGGTTTTGGATGGACATTTCCACAACGAATTTTCCCATGATTCCATTCCACTTGTTAGTCCTCCATTGTTTTCTAATAAAATAATAATAAAATAAAAAAGAGAGAGCCATGTTGGAATACCTTCCTACTTTTTTTTTTTGGTAAAAAAAAGTTTTTCGCTTATTTCCTTTGGACTTTCAATTTCGAATTTGTCTACATGTATTTAATATAATTGTCATTTTAATAGTTAAATGATCATGCTATTATAATTTATATACATATATTCCACATGGATCATATCTGAGGGATTTCTTTTTTTTTTTTTAAATATCATATAAACTTAAACACATTTTCAATTTGTCATATGAACTAAAGTTTTAAGCGATTTGTCATATTAACTTTCTTAAATTATTAATTAGTCATCTCACCCTAACTCTGTTATTTTTCATTCAAAACAAGTCACATGATTTGGGCTTAGGATTATTTTAGACATTTAAATGTAAAGAATATCATCCAACTTTACCATACATTGGAGGGTTCCCAATGACTATATTTTTTTAGTCATCGTCACTTCGAAACACATCGAATCGAGTGTGTGTCGTTCCTCTCTTTCGAACGACAAATCCTCGTATACATTATACTAGATCAACCATTTTTTTGTATCTTTTGAGAAACCCTAGAATTATTTTTGGGGAGTAAAATGTTGAAATGTTTGGAATAACCTTGAACATAAGTCATGACTTATTTTGTATGCAAAACTTTACGTAGCTAGGGTCAAATGACAAATTAATGACTTCGAAAAGTTGGTATGACAATTTGCTTGAAGTTTTAGTTCATATGACAAATTGAAAAAGTGTATAAGTTCATATGACATAAACTTTGTGCTTCACTCCATTGTTTTATAGATATAATTATTCCTTAATTACAACTAGTGGATAGTCACGGTGATTAACGCATTCATCTTCAAACTATTGCATTCCGGTTAAAAACATCCCCATACTCTTGGTTTAGATTTGTAATAAAAAAAATACTCCTTAATAAAAGTTGATCCTGTTTTAATGTTTTTAGCTATTTTTCTTAAAAATGAAGGTATATTATATATATCTAAAAATATATTTCAACTGAATTTTCTTTTTAAAACAGAAACGTTCGGTTCTCATTGGGCCCCCCAAATCACACTCATCTTGATTTTTAAAGCCCAATAGTTGTTAATTTTCCAAAAAGGAACAAATTTAAATGATTAATTGCTCGTTTGAATGTGCTTTTAAAATGACTAAATGTGATTTTAGAGAAAATATTTGTGCGTTTCAAAAGTATTTAAAGTGCTTTCTACAAGAAGCACCAGTTATGTGCTTCTTGCAGGAAGCACTTTAAGTGATTTTCTAGGATTTACTTGTATCTTTACTAATGATTTGTTCTAAAAACATTTTTACTAAAAACGTTTTCAGTCATTTCAAAAGCACATCCAAACGAGCTCTAATTTTAAGGAGATGCTACCGGTATATTCTTTTTTACTTTATACACACATCTTTTAATTTTTACAGTCAATTAGAGGATAAAAATTAATAAGGGCATGGAAGATAAAAAGAGGTGTATAGATAGCACCGTCGCAATTTAATTATCTTAAAAATATAATATTCTTCCACTCTCATTTTAATCAAAAACGAGAAAATCTGATTCTATTCATCTGAAGGCTATGTTTGGTTTGGGGGACAGTGTTGCCTTTCTTTTTTCATGGGAAAATAGGAGGAAATGGAAGCCTCTATGCTTATTACACTTTATATACCACATTTGTTTCGTATCTCTAATAAATATAGTGTTATTGTTTATTAGTAAGACGAGATTGTGACCAGTAACCGCTAAGGATGGGCAAATACCCATTGGTTATGGAAAACCGCGGTTACCCACCCATTTAAATTAAACGGTTACGGTTATGGGTAACCGTTTAGATAAATAAACGGTTATGGGTATAACCGTTTACTCGGGAAATTTAAATCGACGGTTATGGGTATTAACCTTAGTTATAAACGGGTAACCGTTTATCTATTTATTTTATATATGTAAAATTAACACAAACCATGTTCTTGATCCAATAATACTTAGCACTCAATAAATTAGTAAGGAATTCATTGGTCATTCTCTCAATAACACTGCTACATGAATGATGATTCTCATCATCAAGGAATTGGCCAAATTAATTTAAATTCCTTGCGGGTAACCGTGAAATTGACAGAAATGCTTTGACAGAAATGTCTTCTAAACAATTTTTGTAACCCAATAATACTTAGCAAATATTATATTTACCTTCATTGGTAACAGTTAAAAATATTGTTAGTAAACTATTATTTCAATTATTGGAATGGTATAAGGACTTAAAAAATTAAAATATGGAAATGTATGATGAATGTACCTATAATGTTGTTTAATTGTCAAATTGACAATTTTTTTTTAATTTATAAGTTGTTAAAAAACATGTAAACGGGTGAAAAAAAGGTAATGGTAAAAATAAAAAAAAAGATAAACAAGTTAAAAAGGATAAATGGGTAAACGAGTATTAAACGGTTACGGTTAAATGGGTATGCGGTTATGAGTATGGTTAATCGTTTATAAACGGTTATGGGTATGAATATTACCGTTTAGGCAATTACCCAACGGGTAAATGGTTATGCGGGTATGAGTATAAACGGTTAAGGGTAAATAATCGCAGTTATCCGGCCGTTATAACCATTGCCCATCCCTAGCAACCGTTATTTATAGCATGGACAATGGAAGGTCGTCACAGTAGTTAAAATTCTATAATTAAAGAAAGGTGATATATATACAGTACGCAAAACGTAGTAAGAGTTTGACACATATTTCTCCCGATACAGTTCGACACAGTTGCTTATCTTAAGCTTTAAACACAGTTCATGTTCCGGGAGATGGATTGTTTGCCCTCCCCTCTCCATACCTTCCCCATACTCTCTTATTTTGTACGGTCACGGTTAAACCACGTCAACATTTGTTTTTTGTCTTATTATTTTTATAAAAAAAAAAATTAATATAAAATGTTGACGTGGCTTAACCGTGATCGCACAAAACAAAATGTCATGAAAAAGGTATGAAAAAGGAAGAACAGACAATCTATCTCCCATGTTTCGGTTAAAGGTCGATGTATGTCACCTCCATCATAAAAGAATTTGATTAAGTTAGCTTCATTTGAAAGCAGAATAAATATTTAATTTCGTCTGGACTTTAAGCTTTATTAGAAAATAAATAAACAGATTTCGGCTGTTTTTTGGTTGAAAACGGAACTCAAACAAAATCAAGCAACTATCAGTCGGACATGTCAAGGCTCAAGGCTGATCTTCACAAACAAAACTATTCCAACAAAATTGGGAACTACTCCTACATGCGCTTAGTACCAATTTATATTTGACCGTAATACTTATTCCTGCTTAGTTGATTGACGGAAAACTTTTTAATCAAATTTTAACGGTCAAATTTGTGTTGATACTATATAGTTGTTAGTACTCAAAACAACCAATAGGATCCTTTTCGGATCCTTTTGGTGAGGATATTGGGAATCTATGAATATCTACACAATTCACAATGAACAGACACGATTCACCATGAACGAACACGATTTATGAATCTTCGGAATTCTCATAAAGAGGATCCGATGAGGATCCAGATTCCTCCAAGAAGTTATGAAAACTGGTTACTTTAAGATGATTGGAGTAGTTGCAAAAATATTACTACAACAAATATCTACATAAGAACAAAAATGTTTCAAATTTCAGAGGTCCATGCATAAAGGGAACTCAATTTGTTGTCTTGCACCGACACAAACTCTGTTGATCAAATCAAAATATGGGAAGTTTGGCATTTACGAGAAAAGGTCCGTTAGACAGAAAGCTCACCTGCCGACAGGAGAAGCTCACAGGCTTGCCAGTTAACTGAGTTAAAAATTTAAATCAAATTAATTACAAAAATCAAATAATTACACCCACTTTGCTAAATTGTGAGCGAGGTAAATAAATTAAGCCCTCAGATCCCTCAGATCCCTTTTTTGTAAAGGCAAAAAAGGGTAAATTTTGTTTTTGAGGAACAAAGGTAAAACTTTTAGTTGAGATGCGTATGATATTGGCGCCTTGGTGGTTTACTCATATTGTGCGCACCAATAATTGTTTTTTTTTTTTACTTATTTTTTCATCTGACCCAAACAAAAAGGAATTAATAGTTTTTGTTTGAGAAGAAATTATTTAAGTTTTCACCACTCCAAATTATATGTGATGATGGTGGCTGCTACGATGGTGATGGAGGTGATGACAGTGGCGTGGTGGAAAGGTGGAGGTGAAGTGGCGGAGTAGGGTAGATGATGTTATTTTAAAAAACTAGTATGGTTATATTGCGAATTGAAAAATTATTAAAAACCTTGCTAAAGTAAATCAGTTTTTCAGTGAAAAAAAACACAATTAAATGGAATGAGTCTAAAGCTACAAGTCAACTCATTTGATGAACCAATAAGGTAACAAAATAATTTTCCATTTTCTAAAACATGAACTTTTGGAAACGAGGGAAACACATGGAATAATAAGGTAAGGGCTATCTCTAATGGAAATATGCAAAATTGAGAGGTAAAAGTCACTTTTAGGTTTCCTCATTTACTTTTTCAAGATGTGTATATTTTAGTTTAGTTTTACGGTAATGAGATAGATGCAAATTTGTAATCTCATTTATCTTTTTCTCTTTAATTGGTGGGGTTTACAACCAAAAAATGTAGAATCAATAAGTAAATGTGCATTTTTATTTACGTTTTGCATCCAAAAATGTAAAATGCTCAGTTAAGGCATTTTGCATGGTCAATTCGAGATGCTCTAAACAATCAAATTTCTTTACTATTTCCTAGCATAACATCTTGCTTAATTTCTGGGATTAAATGAAAAAACAAGAAAATTAGGTAAACAATTCAACACCATTTTCAAAACTATTTTTAAACATTGATGTACATTAAAGAAGTGAATCCAATCATCCAAAATCCTTAATAAATTTCTTCCTCTTTTTATCAAAGTCTTTAACC